GGCCTTTGGCCCCGTTTACACCTGGTCACTTCATGTGTCTAGTATCTGGATTGTATCCTAATAAAATTTTAGCAACATGCATTTACACTTGGTAGTCAAATGCATCCCTGGTTAGTTGGACCTAAATCTGATTGGTGTGTGGGACGGAATATGGAAATGCGCTCATTACGTGCCAATTAATTTATCTGTTCAGTCTCTTCCTCTGCAGTTTGTTTTGCGTAGTAGTGTCCATCCATATTGCTATTAAACATTTAGTTTTCCCAACCATGTGCGTCCTCCATGATTATCTTCCGTATAGACACGGATCATGCACCAAATGACCTACTGCACTGGGAGGAGTTTCGGTTGTACCGGGAGGCTTTTTGGTTGTCTAATATGTCTTGCAGAGATGGATGCATTTACACTATAACACATGGCTCAAATGCCTCTCAGACCACCTCCTGACCTGGTCTGAGCAACTGGATTTGTATCTGTATTAAATGTGTCTTGGGTGCATTTAGGCTTGCATTTTTATGTGGTTTGGCCTTATCCAGATATAATCCTGATATGACACATAAAGTGATCAGGTATAAACAGGGTCTTTGTTGTTTTTTGAGCTTAAAGATTCACATTTTCAATGGGAGACATGTTTGTACTGCAGGAACTATGACAGGCCCTGGCTTTTGAACTTTATGCTGGTAACAGTCTGGTTGGTCCATTTCTTCTTTGATCCAAAGAACACAACGGTCGATTATTGCTATGAACAGAAAGGTTGAAAAGTTGACTCATCCAACCACAATACATGTTCCACTGTTCATCAGTCCATTTCAGATGAGCTTGAGTCCAGAGAAGTCAGCCGTATTTCTTTATGTTTATATGTGACTTCCATGCATACTACAGTGTTAACCTGCATTTGTGGACACAGCTTTGGATGATGCTTATTGACTAAATTATTCCCGAACCCATACAGTTTTATCCATCACAGAAACATGCAGATTTTAAACACAGTGCTGTCTGAGGGGTCGAAGGTCACAGGTGTTCAGTTGTGGTTTTCTGCCTTGTCCATTGTGCACAGAGATTTCTCTGGGTTCTCTGGATCTTTTGATGTTATTATGCACTGTGGACAGTGAAATACCTGAAATTCTTGCCTTTGCTGGCTAAGAAACGGTATTTTTAAACTGATGGATTTTTTGCTGATGCATTTTTGTCATTTTGGCTTCGTCATAGAGGACTAAGCTTTTCCTGAAGGCTGCTTTTATACCCAAATATGATTGCATCACCTGTTTAAGATGTGAACATTTCACAGTGTTTCAAGTCTTAAACTGCTCCTGTCCTAACTTTATTGGAGCATGTTGGAGGCAGCAATTTGTATTATTTTTGCTCAGATACAGATCAAAGTAGATTTATAAATCACCACATTCTGTTTTTACTTGCATGTTACTTTCTGTCCCCGCTTTTTGGACCTGGGTTTATTCAAGGCTAAAGGAGACTTAAAATCAACCAATGAGCATCATGCAAACTGCATTCCTAAATTATCACACTTTCCACAAGTAGTTAAGTAATTTCAAATAAATGCACATGTTGTCTCTGACACTGTATAACATTGACTATCTATAAAAATGGACAAAGATAAAAAAAAAGGTATTAGCCATCATCTCAAAGCCTAAATTTAGTCCTTAGTTTTGTCCATTTTTGGTTGATTGACTGTACGAGGTGAGGAGAAAACTGTGCATGTTTAATTTTTTGCTGATTTCTTCAAAAGAGAAACAAAATTCTTGCACAATTCAATTGTTAAGATGTAAATTTATTCAGAGTGGTTTGATGTGAAATACGCAGTCAGAATTGTTCACAGTGGAGGTGGTAGGAACCAGAAGTCTGAAAAGGTTAATGCCTGACGTATATGATATATATATTTTAACCATAAACAGTCTGGTCATTCGGATGGTAAACAAAGTGGCTGTTTTTGCTTTGTAGACATCACAACCCCTGGTTCCTATCATCACCACTGTAAGTAAATACAAACCACTCTGAATGAATTTACTTAACAATTGAATTGTGCAGAAATGAAGATCAGAATTTTGAAAAATCAGTGGAATTCCCCTTCAATGGTAGGATGTTTTATGTTTTTGCAATAATGCTGGATTATGAATGGAAGAGAATTATGATATTCGCTCTTATACACTCATAATTGCAGTATATATGGAATACAGAGGTGACACAGCTGCATTGTGTTTCGTGGCAGGCCGACCGAAGCCTCACCTGTGAAGTAATTAACAGTAATCACAAGTGTCACAGAGAAGTACCTAATGACAAGCAACTGTCCGGCCCTGGCACACTAACATTAATTGCATCAAACATTTGTTAATTACATGATAGTCTCATTAAGGGCATCAGAGTTTTGGAGGCAAGTACTTTCGATGCTGGAGCTGACGCCGGAGGAGGTGAACGTCTGACCTCACTGCCTCCTCTATCAATCAAACAGCGTGGATATTCCCCGCAGGTCAAAGGGCAAAGACAGGTGCATCTCTTCTCTCAGCACTTGCCTCCAAACAACCAGACACAGCAAAAACAGCGTGTCTGTGGATGTGTGTCTCAGAGTGAATTAGAATGAAGGGTTTTCTCTCATGACTTGAATATATAACCATTATCAATGACTATCAACAATAAAAGTCTCCAGAATTAGTTGTAGGAAACTTCACAGGTCATAAGCAACTATGATTTACTGCATATTGATTATACATACACACAACACAGCCATGTACAGCAGCTCATTGTAGTGATTTGATAAATCTGGCCAACGCTGGTGTTGGTTCCATCCAGAGCCGGTGCCAGCTATAGGGGCAATAGGCAGTTCCCTAGGGTCTCTGCATTGGAGGGGGCCTCCACATCATTGCTTTGCATAGTCAAAAAGAGTAAAGTAGTATCAATGTTCTCGTTGGAGAGTTGGGTGGTTGTCATAAAGATCTATCAGTGTAATTGATTCAAAGTGGGCCTCCTCCTTTCTATATATGAAGGGATCTGATCGGATCAAGCAGAGCAAGGGTCCTCCCTGCCCCTCCTCTCCAACCAGAATGCAAATAGTAGTACCGCAACATACTCAATGCAAGAACATGCATGCAAATCACAACACCTGGTCAGTGCACTACAAATGTACAGTCCTTCTGTACAAACAATGTGCATTTTTATGTTACTGTGGTGGGTAAAACATTCAGTACTCAGTAGAAGACAAATTAGAGTGTTTGTAAAAGGGATCTACTGTTATTCCAACACTGCAATGGGCTGGCGACCTGTCCAGGGTGTATCCTGCCTTCCGCCCAATGACTGCTGGTAAGCTCTGGCTCCCCCAGTTACCCAGAAGGATAAGTGTGTGTGTGTGTGTGTGTGTGTTATTCTGACAACAACTAAACATGTGGACAGAAGACAACTTGTGAGATGTTTGGACCCACCAGGTTTACTTTGGGATCTGGGATTTTAAGGGATTAACCTGTTAACCTGGAATGAATAAATGATGATTTATGATATATGTTTTTACTTGTGAACCAGTTTCATGAGAGACTTGTCAAACTGCTGGTTTGCTGTGAAAGTTGGCTGGACAAAAGCACGCTGGCAATATAAGACAGTTTGATCAGGCTTGGCTGTTGCTATAGAGCTCAATGTATCATGAATTGCATTGTAGAATGCGATGGCGCGCAAAATCATGTTTGCATAGTTCGAAGCATTTGCGTTCTCATACTTGCATGAAGTATGTTTCCGGCCTTGGCCTGTGTGTACACTGCTGGCAACAAAAGCAGCAAGACTGCTGGAAGTCATTCGACTGCAGTGAGAGTTAGTGACACTCAGCAGCAAGCAGTGAAATGGTAGTTGCCGTTGCGAAGCAAACAATTTGAGTGATGTGATGAAGTTCAGCTCTGTTCAACTTTATGAGTAACCGCAACACTTCAGTCTGCTAAACATGAGTGAGTGAATTACCATCCAGGTCAACGAGGTGCTTGGTATCTAAAACAAGAACATCTGTTGATTGCATGCAGCTACCATAAGAGATGATGTGCACCGCATAGGTTGTTTGATTTACTAGGGTATCTTTGTGTTTTATGCTCAGCTTAATTGTACGGAATGTTTATATTTTTGTTTATATATTTGTGTTCCCATTTGGCAGTTGCTCAGATGTGGCCATTTTGATTAATGTAAGATGCTTAAATCAGCTGGTTGTGTTCAGACATTCTGTCGCACATCAAATTAAAACATGTCAAAGATTGTTCTTTTGTTTTTATCATTATTTCATTTAAATAACAAGCAAAATAGCAAGCAAATAGTAAGATGAGTCAGGTTTTCCATGGGCGAGGCTGGCCTCCAGGGTAAAATCTTGCCTAGGGCCTCCTATAATTGGACCTACCCCATCTCAATTTATCAGTTGCAACACAAAGTATGGATATATTGACTTGAATATAATCACTCTCAGTGACTATCAATAATAAACGTCCCCAGAATTCGGAGGAAATTTCACAGCTCACAAGCAACTATAATTACTTCGTATTGATATTTCAAACACACAACAGCACAAATGGACATGTACAGTAGCTCAGTCTAGCGATTAAATAAGAATCTGGCCCTGCTTTGGTGTTACTTCCATCTCACTTCATTATGCACTGCATATCCATATGAACATGGATATATTGAGCTAGCAAATTGAATTAGGCTTAAGCTCATGAATAGAGTAAATTAAACCCAACCTGACTAAACGCTCGTTTGCTCTGGATATCAGATGTAGCTTCTCTCTCTCTCTCTCCGCTGGCGGTCCACGGTGGAGGACAAATGTAAATGCATGACAGAGCTAGCAGAGCTACAGCGGAAACGTACGGATGATGAGGTCAGGCTGAGGATGCCAGCTGCGATTATAATGATTAGATAACTGCCCCCTCCCCTCACTCACATGCACTGACCCCCTTATTGAGACATGAAGGACAAGCAACAAGTTCCCTCTCCCTCTCTCTCTGTCTATTTTGGAGAGGAGACAACAGTGCGGTCAGTCAGCTTCGACATTTCATGGCCACACCACTTCATTCTAGTGCGTTTTAAAGGTCTGTTTTGGTCTTCATTTGGTTTTAGTTTGTTCGGTTTTTCAAGCCTCAGCTCATCATGCTGAAAACAGTGTACCAGCAGGCAAAGAAGCATCCAGGAGTAAGTGGAATTTCATTATTATGAATCTGTCAAAAGCTTGAACATCAGATTAATGATATGGTTTATTACCGAAGCCTTTGCATCATCTTTGTTCATGATTCTTCAGGAAATGATGAGACTTGTGTTCATTTTGGAATCGCATATAGTGATTAGTAACTCTAGAAGAAAGATTTAGCACAAAATTAATGTCATTGCTGTCAGAACAAAGCCTTATCTGCCTTTATCTGCATGTTTACATGATCAAAATATCTGCTGCCCTTTACATCATGTGAAAATTTCAAAACGGACTAACAGAAATGGTCCAGAATTACCCGGAGAAAATCTGTTTACATTAAGATACAATATCAGTTAACATATTTTTGTCTTCTCTTGTAAACATACTATTTTGGAGATAAAAGATTATATTCAGATAGCGACAATATATTAACAGAAGATGCCACAATGCAGGCAAAGGCTTTTATGTTTCATGCTTATTTTTCCTATCCGTCTAAGAGGAGCACTTCAACTGGAAAAGATATGCGTTTAATCAGTCTACTGGAAAATGCTTGCAAATGCTCCAATATTTTGAAGCTTGTTTGTTCGAGTAATTTTCTACGAAAAGTTGCAACAGCACAAAAAAAATGTCCTTAATGCTTATTCCTTGAACAGCTGCCACGTTTCTGAAAATCAGTTCGCGGTGACCTAAATTTTTGTTGGCAGGCTACCAAAAGCAGCCAAAAGTGACAGTGTTATATAATCAAAGTGAAGCACCAAGCGCACTGCATCAGACTGCGTCCACAGTTGGATAGCCTACAGCAGTCAGCCTCATTCATGTTAGCATGACTGCATCTGCAGCTGCAGCATTTAGCTGAAGCGAGAGCTGTAGAGTCAACACCAGTCTACAGTGAGATCACAGAGTGGATCTGAAAACATGTTCAATCAGGATGTTAACCTAGCTATTAAAAACGTCTCTCTGCTTAATCCTCTCAAGTCTGAAGGGAAGCATCACTTCAGTTGAAGTCACTGTAATAATGAAATAAATAAATAAACAAACTAGGCCTGTTCTGCTTAAGAGTAGTTTCAGGTCAGGAGCAGATGCAACACCAGATGCTGTGAATGCACACAGACAGATTAAGAGTCAGTCACTCCTTTCTCTCTCCGTCTCTCTCCTCCTCGGACAGAACATGAGAACTGCACAGATGTTGAATTCTTCATAAATTAAAGTGAAAAAAATAAAAAAAAATTAAAGTGACACCTTCTACCTCTTGACAGTGAAATCGCCATGAAAACGGTCCAAACACACTAAAAACTACTAAATATGTACACAACATACCTACTGTTACGACTTAACATTCTGTCTAGTGCACAGTGGGATCTGTGGCATTAAAATACTGAATTTTGAAAATACTGCAGGGATAAAAGCCAGAGGAACAGGCAAAAGAGCTTTCAAAGCCATTTTTATTAAAACCAGAAACAATAAAACTCTGCGCTATAATATGTAAAACCTCTGGGAAAATCAAACTGTGGAAAGAAAATAACCACACTTACCTACTTTGAAACAAAAAGTACTTCACTACACTGACAAAATGAAACAAAAGCTAATTACTCTACACTTCCCTGGCCAATAATCAAAAATACATGGGACGGTGCCTGGGCCCTGGCCTAGTGAACCAGTCAGAGGAGACTTCTATGTGATGCAGAACCTCTTAACTGTCTAAAACCCCAGGTGGTATAAATGATCAAGCAGCTCTTATAAACTGAGTTTGGAGTGTTTTGGCAAAATCTGCCAAAAGGTTAAAAGTGTGCAGGTAAAATACCAAAACCAAAGTACTCCCCCAACTCCAGAGACAAGCTCTTGTAAAGTAAGATGTACTGGTAAAACACTGTGGTGCTTGCCATGAGCAACTTAAGGGGTGTGGCCATGCAAAGTGGAGATTTAAAACACAAACAGCTAACACACAAGCCAAAAGCACACATGTGGTAGCAGCCCCCTCCCCTTTAGCTATCTTGAATGTCTCCTTTTAAGGCTTAAGCTCCTCCCCTAATAACACCATCCAGGCCTCTGATTGGTGAGGTCCTCCTCACATGACTGATGGTAGCAAGCAGGTACACCAGAGACAGTGAGAAAAAGACAGACACAAACAAAAAACAAAATGTGTGTTTACACATAACACCTACATACAGTGTTCATCTTGCACGCTACAAACTACATACACTACTGTTCAGAAGTGGTGCAGCTTTACTCCACATTGTAACCCCATACAATATGAACTTACTGTGAGATTGTGATAAAATATGGTGCGTATGTTGCTGCAAGTCACCCTGTAAAGCCTGAAATAGTAATTTAAAAGCCAGAGGTGTCGAGTCGGATTTCGTGGGAGTTTTTCCGATTATGTCATGCGTCTTTACATATTAATGTCACACACACAGGCTCAAAAAGAAGGTCTGGCTCGATATTTACGTCCCAAATGTAAAGATAATTCACTCACCTCAGATGACACACCCTTCACCGAGTTCTGACTGAATTCTCTTTAAATGCTCTTTCTTACAATCATCACACTTATCAGCTTGGGGAAGGGGTGTGAAACACAACCTACGTTATTAAATGTTCTTCTGCACTTTGCATGCAATTACACATTTCCACCACAGAGGTCTCCAAATGCCCAAATCTTACATGGTGTGGCTTTACATAACAAGTTATTCATGGATGAAAAATATACTGTATTAATGTACCAGATTTTTTTGTTTACATCAAGTTATCTGCCTGAAAGATTTGATTGTTTGAAATATAATGAATTCATTCTCAATACTATACAGCTTTCACAGACATATCAGAATTTTTTGTGACTCTGTTAATCATTCCAGACACATCTAATATTTCTTAATTTTTATTTACAGCTTCCCACAGCTTTTCTATTTTTTATTAAGCTACTATACAAATGTTGTTAATCTTGAGTGATACATTTTGAAGACAGGAGAAAGCTTTTTTGGTGGTTTGATAACTAGCCAGTGTGCTAACTGTAGAACCAGTGTTAGACCGATGTAAGAATGCAGAGTGGACCAAGAAGCATCAAAATGTTAATCTAACAATTAAATACATAGGCTAGAATCCCACAGTGTCTGTATATATTTTTTAAAGTCAGCTTCATTTAAACTATTCACTGAAATAATGAAATAAACAAATGAATAAATAAATAAATAATATAGGCTTATTCAACTTAAGAGTAGTTTCAGTTGAAAGCTCAGTGTTTTATGGTGACTACTGGTGTGGGCCTTGCCTGCCTGCCACCAATTGCTCTTTGGAGATAATTCAAGTTCTATTGATTGATAGACTGATGACTGATTGATTGATTGATTGATTGATTCATTTCCAAACCTTCTTCAAAGAAACGTTTTCCCCTAATTCTGTGACAAGGTACAAGGCCAGTCATGTGATCAGCAGCTAGACAGTAAAACAATTTTTTTCTCCTCAGTGTTAATAATCATGAGGATTAGCCTCTCTGACCCTCCGGTGGGTCTGTGCAAGTGACAGTTACCCAGTGAGAGGTTCCATTCTTGGACCCCCAAGCAGCCAGCAGCCTAGACAAAAGTGCAGCAGCTGTTATCTCAAACGGCGTTATGAAAAACTCGGACAACCCACCTCAGCTCATGGTACGAAATCAACCACATTAAACGATGAGGACTATGACATGTCCATCACAGTTCTGACCTTAGAGAAGATGAGAGCGACTTAAGCCCACAAGCGCAACATGCTACAGCCATTTAAGGCCATTTTGAACATACTTGATAAGCTAATGTGAATATCTCCCTGAAAGCCCCTTTGGGGATTATGTAAATGTCTGCTATAGGACGTAAAGTTTTGACAGCTCAGTGCTAAGTCTCTCTCTCTCTCCTTTCTTCTCACTCTCTCTCTCACTCTCTTTTTTTTACACTCACAGCTACTTCCTGCATTCGGAAAAAAGGTCTATTTCGGCATCTGAACTGATTTTTCCCATTCACCCTTACTACGTATTTATATTCTAATCCCTGTCATCAACTGCACAGATGTACACCCACAGACAGATAGACACCCACTCACTGGTCCCCCTGAAGAGTGTCTGTGATCCTGTCACTCAGTCTGACAGGCAGCGGGTGCAAGCTGGAACACACACAAACACACACACACACACACACACACACACACACACACACACACACACACACACACGTCTCTCTATTTGTTGCGTCCTTGCCCGCTCAACCCAGCCTGACACACGCCCCACACTGTCTCTCTCTTATACATATGAATCAGGGAGAGACAGGGAGGAAAAACAACCACGTCAGTGTGTGTGTGTTTATTTATACACTGGAGGTAGACAGTATAATGGAAACACAAGGCAATATATGGATATAAGTAATAAGGAGAGCAAGACTAGCTATGGTTATTATTTGAATGCTGTATTGCATACAGTTCAATGCAAAAGACCAGCCTTAATATGTTTAATGTCCAGTCAAAATGGCCATTCAGTTCAAGTTATTCATTTTTCAGTAGATGCTTCTGAGGAGACTATATATTCACATGCGTAAGGAAGAGGAAAGACAAAAGAAAATATGTAAAAAAAAAAATAGCAGGAGTTTACAGGTGTTTATATGAGTTTTATTATATTATTGTTATTAATAATGTAATGAGAAAACGGGACTCCTAACAACCATGCAAGGCCTGGTAGCTCACCAAAGCTGTCCCCATCAGTACTTAAAGCTTTCATCTGTCCTAGACAGAAGAAGGTGCTGGAGATCTACCACCCTGCAGAGTTTAGCTCCAACCCTAATCTAACACACCTAGTTCAGGTAATGAAGGCCTTCAGCATTGTCTGAGTAGTATAGCAAAGTGTGTTGGATCTGAACTCTCCAGGGTGGCAGATCACCAGGACCAGGACTGGGCAAACACTGCACTGAGTGCTGAAAAATCTGAAATATTTAGTTGCTAAATATCTGTTTTGATTGGAAATTAAATCAATGAAAAGTGCTCTCTGACTTTTGCACAGTACTGTATTTGTATCAATTTCAATAACACTATTTGGAGTGGTCTCTTGTAGATGATTAATAAACCCTTAACAGATTATCAGTAATACATCAACAACATATGAGTGAAGTAGCAGTAGCGAAGCATCTGAATATATTGAAGTAAATATCTTGTAGATGTTCTGTTGATACATTACTAACATTAAGTAGATGTATTGTTTATATGTTACTTCCATTACACAAAACCTAACCTTACCCAAAACCTAATCCTATCCCTGGCCGTAATCCTAACCCTAACCTCAACCCAAAACCTAACCCTAACCTTGGCCCTAATCCTAACCCTCTCCTTAACCTCAACCCAAAACCTAATCCTAACCCTCATATGTTTTACACGTTACAGAGAGTCTGCTGAGTGTTTGTTGTACCTAAAAAGGACCACTCAAAATAAAGGGTCACCTCAATTTCTAGTGGGAAGCTGGACTAGTCTTCAAAAAGGACCTAGAACAGAAAACCCACCCGGACCAACAAAAAGTAAACAACTCATCAGCCCAAATTTCTCTCCCCTCTGATATAAAATATACTTTGTGCTTATTTCATGATGTTATTCTTTGATAGGCTGATTTCTATCATTTTCTATCCTATCATTTTACTACAAATAGTAGTTTAAGAAAAGAAGGAGTTTTCAGAATGGAAGCCCTATTATAAATGTTAGCTTTACACAGCTAACTGTGTCCAGCTGAGACTGCATAACGGACATTCAAATGAATAATGTGGCCATTTTTAAGGCCATTGCTCAGTTTTTTAGCTGAGTTTCTAGGTGTCAAAGTGTCTGCCTGACTTTCTGTGGGAAGCATTACCTGGTGTAAAACGTGTCATATCTTTGGACTAGTCCTGTCTTGCACATTTTTCCTTGTTTCTGACATTCCACTAGTCTGTATGTACAACTGGCCACAATCTTTTACAGTTTGCTAACTCAAAAGTTTCATGTCCATTATATGTCTTTTACAACAGGTAAATGCTGGTGTTCATTTTAGATCTACAATGATGCAAACATGCATTTTGGAATAATTCAGTCCAAAATGCTAATGTTGCAAACAGTTAATGACACTAATCTACCAATGAGCATTAAGCCAATGACCTCATGCTAATTGGTGGCTACTAGCTACTGCTCAAAAGTCATGTTAGCATGTTTTGTCATGCTATTCCTGTATCAGATTCAGTTCTAATGCTACAGTAATCATCTGCTGTTCCATTATTTGGCAAACTCTGTCCACATTGTTCAACCAACCTGTATAATTAGAGAAGATTTTCAGTTCAGTGCTCTCAATATGTTGAAAATCTTTTTTGTTTTAACAGCTTATCCCTCAGTTTTTCTTTATAATTCTGGGTATGGGTGGAGCGTCCCTCTACCTGGTCCGGCTGGCTCGGGGACCTCATGTCAGGTAAGTCGTGTGTGTGTGTGTGTGTGTGTGTGTGTGTGTGTGTGTGTGTGTGTGTGTGTTCTTGTAAATCACTACCACGACTAACTGAACTGTTCTTTCCATTGTTTTGGATGTCACTGCTAATGACCTGATGTTTGTAGTAATTAGCAATATAGTATCTATAGAGTTGTATGCAAAAGTTTGGGCACCCTGGTCAAATTACTGTTTTATTAACACACATCAGAGAACACATATTTTAATGCACAATTACTGTTTATTTGCTGAATTTAACATTGGGAAAATATTTTTTTTTGTCGCAAATTTACTATGAATGGCTATTTGGTCAATGCGATTTGGTCAGCACAATTAAAATGTATTCTGAATATACAATTTATTTTTAATATGTTAATTCTCAAAGCGTTCTTAGTTGTTATGGAATCATCTAGAGTTTGGTTCACCATCGAAAATCTCATTTTTAGAGCTTCCTAGTAATTACTTGAAACCTACAGAGTATTAGCATCATCATTAGCATCCATCTGCAAGTCATTTCTTAACCCTGTGTGCTGTTCAGGTCTGTGGAACCCATTTTCAATGTTTAACTAAAGAAAAAGTGATGTGATTTATTATTATTTCAACCCCAGATTCCTTGGCCTTTGCTCATTTTCTGTGAAAAACAGAATTTTTTTTATAGTAATTTTCAATGACTTCACACTGATCACCCCCCCACACATTCATATTACACATGTGGTGTTGGGGTGAACCTGCAGGGAATAAAAGTGTGGAGGTGCTGTGTCCTTCACTCTGTTCTCCTCCTACATGGCCTGCTGTTAGTGTGTGTGTGTGTGTGTGTGTGTGAGGGTGGACAACATGGACAGGCTGCTGACTGGCCACAGCTGCTGAAGGAGAACCCTACGCTGAACATTCTTGATATTTTAAATATCTGGTATTTTTTCATATAAATTGTTATGGATTTAAAAAAACAATAATGCAGTGGGTCCACCAGACCACAGTGTAACAAAAACATCAACACCACACAAGGGTTAAAGAATCATATCTAAATCATACTATTGTGAGGTCAGAAATTTACAGCCCTAACAATAATCACATACTTTATATTTTTATTTAAATAAAAAAAATATGCTATAGTGGAAGGGATGTCTTGGGTTGTTGGTGAAATAAGGTATTAATTTAAGGGTTAGTTCAGTCGTTGACATCTCTGACAGTGGCTGTAATTTATCAGGTAAGCCGAGCTGGTAGCAGAAAACCAGTTTAATAAAAGGCTATAAGTCTGGGATTTGGATTCCATATGTCTCAGATCTGATGCAGCCTCGTGTTCGCTGCTCTATTCATTTGTTTGTTGCAAACTTACTCTTTTGTTTCCTTTGCATGTGTGAGTGCAATGGGGCATTCAGGCCTGCTGCTCTGTTACTGCAGAGTGCGCTCTCGCTCACTCTCTCTCTCTCTCTCTCTCTCTCACTCTCTCTCTGTCTATGTGTGTGTGTGAGAAACAAACTTTGTTTAATGATGAGCGGCACTCTGCCAAAATACTGCCCTCCTTCAACTCCACTGATAATTACTTACCCCTCTCTCTGCTCTCCCTCTCTCTCCCCTTCTCTCAATCCTGTTTTACTCATCCCAATCCTGCCTCCTGCTTTCTTCTCTTTCCTCTCTTCCCCTCATTCCAACTGTGCTCCATTTTTTCCCTTTTTTGCCCCTATTGACCCACTCTCTGACTCTCCCTTGCTTGTTCCCTCCCTAACTCTTCTTCTCTTCTCTCTCTCTCTCTCTCTCTCTCTCTCTCTCTCTCACTCTCTCTCTCTCTCCCTCTCTCTCTGCCTTATCCTCATTCTGTCAGCTGGGACAGGAAGAATAACCCAGAGCCGTGGAACAAGCTCAGTCCCACCTATCAGTACAAGGTAAAAGTGCCTGCTGACTGCACTCAGATCAGTTTCAGCCTGACAGCGGCGACACAACTGTCATCCTATCTGCTCCCGGTTCAGCCACCATAATATTTACAGTGAAATGCATTCATCTAGACCAAAAAAAGCAAAAGAACCCAACCAAAGCAATGCATGATAGGAATGTACTCTACGTTAAGTCTCACTGCAGCATGTGCGGCCTGAGCTAATCTGTAATATTCTAAGTAAAAGTGATACAAATTAAGACTCCAAAAAACAAACAAACATCCCAAAGCACTGCATAACAGGAAGTCTTGCAAGCCAGAGCCCTCCCTCTCATCAGAGAGTCTGGTGTGTTTTGTTATTTAACGTCTTGAAGAACTGCCTACTTTACAGAAATGGGCCATTATCTGACATGCAAAATGACCAATCACACACTGTGGTTTTGCTGCAGGGAAATGTCATTTTTCAAAATGGGACTACAGCAAACATGTGCTTTGTTCTTTGTACTGGCAAATATGCAAGAATATCTTACTAGCCTCAAAGAAAACTCTTAAATAACTTTTAAAGATCTGATGCCATGAACTTTACACATTTCCAATCTAGCTGTGTTCAAAATAGCCTACTACACACTGCTCACACACTGATTGCGCCCAAAAGTAGCAGGTAGAATGCAGTATGTGACCAACATAACATTTTCCACTATGCCAAAGATGCTCTAGCGAAATATTCCAGATGCAGAAAGAGATATCTTCATGACATGCTGCATCTCAGAATGCAGCGCTGTGCTGGAGCTTCAGGAAGACATAGCCACTGATGTAAATGCCTGGATATTTTTAGAAATTTTTCCAAAAGCTGCTGAACTCAGTGCTACAATGAAGCCACACAAGCTTTCCCTGCTGGTTTTATGGTGGGTTTGCTGACTTTGTCTCTTTAATGAAGTTAACTCAACACATAGATACTGTGGTTAAAACAGCAGCTTTCTAAAGTTGGTCTCAGTCAATTGATCTGGACAGCATGAACACAATGCTTATTATTCAGTCAAACTCATATTACCAACTATGGAGGTACAGAAAATGAATTTACCCAATTTACAAAAAACAGGCATCTTTGGAAACCACACAGGTTTACCACATCCAAGTCAATTTTAAAGCTTATTTTTGGCCTTGGAGATAGGGTAGAAAACACCACCCTGCACTCTGTCATGGTATTGGGTGGCATATAAAAGTCACACAGGCACATCTTTTGACCTAAATATATCCACATATGCTGCTAAAGAGCTGAAAAGCATCTAGTGAAAATTACTAAGCAGTGAGTGGAGGGTTAAAAAAATGGTTTCGGCCCAAGATATTGGCAGTCTAGTATGATATCTAGCTTTTGTCACATACTGGATAACATACTGTACACTACTATGAAGAGTAGCATGCATTATACCCAATATACTGTTGCAGTACACAGTATATAAAACACAGTACACAGTATACTATTTTGCACACAGCCTGTATCTATAGCTAAGCACCAAAAGACTCATCATAGCATACAGAGCAGGGACCTGTTCGCAAAACTGTTTCCCATAGGACAGATTACACTTGACAGGAAGCTACTGCATGTAAGTGGTCTGAACTTATCTGTAATAATCTTAAATAAAGTTGATAAATGATAAAAATACAAAAACAAACAGAGACACCCCAAACGAATGCACAGCAGGAAGGTCAGCATGCAACCTGAACAAATCTATAGCATTCTAAGTGAAAGGAATGTACCCAAAGAACACACAAACAGGGGCTCCAGAGGCAGGAGGCATGTTCCTCACTCTGAGTGGTAGGAGGGGCCTCTATCTCCCCCCATGCTAGCCAATGTGGGTGGCTGTTAGCTGACGTTGAATTGGCAGTTAGTGTTCTCCTCCAAGCGTGTTGAGCTCTCCAATGAAGCTGCATTACCAACAGTTTGAAAAGGTTCATTTTTACACTTGTGCTAGCTCTCATTCTCCCAGCTTGGTAGCATTGTGTGATGGGAAGATCTACCTAGCGGGTGTGATTGCACTGGGAAGAAAATTGTGCAAAAACAAAACAACAAACTCCAAAGCAACGCATCACTGCAATGTCAAGTGGCACTCTAGAACAGTCAAACGGCGAAATGCATCAGCCTGTAAAACTGTAGGCCTAACTGCAGTAGCTGTGGTTGGAATCTCCTGTCTGGAAGCCTGTCTGTGGTGCGGTGCTGAAAATGGGCTGCTAGAATGTGCTCGTTAATGACTCTTCAGAGGGAATAATTCAGGATGCGGCAGGTGAACATTTTGTTCCCATTTGGAATAACAGAACGTGCCAGCATCCTGACAAAAAAGAAATAAATAAATAAACAGACAGCGAATGAAATATGAAATAACAGGAATATTCCGAAGAGATGCATGTGTGTTGGTGGGGGACGATGTGGTTGGTGGGTTTAGGGGCAACATATAGGCCACAGCACATAAAAAGGTCACAACGCAGCATGTTTAATTCTCAACCGCAGTCAAAGGTCAAGAATCCACATTCCACTGCCGTCTTAACAATAATACTGTGTGTGTTTTAGGAGCAGAGAGATCAATGAAAATATGCAAGAGGAAAATAATCAATGCAGACAGAAAAACGTGTGTGTGTGTGGCAGGTGTGGGGGGTGGTTGGAAGGTGTGGAAGCCATAGCTTGAACATGCAAAGTGTGATGCAGTGGGAGATATGCTTTCATGCTAGGTGTTTGGGGGGTTGGGGTGGGCAGACAGACAATGTATGTGCATGCACATGTTTTGAGGACGTGTGTTTGTTTCACCACCAGAAGCCTTGACGGTCTTAATTTAAGCTAAGCAGATTTAAATGTATTCCCTCTCTCCCTCTCTTCACAGTTGGTGGCCGTCACTACAGACTACGAAAAGCTGAAGAAGGAAGGGCCTGACTTTTAAAGGTCCTCTCGGTGACTCTGGGGGCACATACAAAACACACACACACACACACACACACACACACACACACACACACACACACACACATCTTCTGTGTTATCATTTACCATCTCAAATCCCCGTCTTCCTGATTCTCTTCTTTAAGACGACTGCGACCGCAAGCCGCTCCAATCCATATCTAGTCTTACGGAGAGCAGAATGCTTTTGGAATATTAAAGTAATATTTCCACAACAGCACAAACATGTTTAACATGCCAGACAGACTTAGAGAAAGCATGTATAAAATCGTAGCTGGAGGATATTTTTCAAAGAACAAATAAAGACAATTTTCTGCACTTAGAAGTTTGAAGCAGGTCATATATAATCCAAAAAGGAGAAGTGCATAACAACGTTACTGTGCGCTATGATGAAGTGCTGTTTACCACCGTAAAGAACCGTGAAAAAATGTCCTACCAACAACAACAAAAAGCACGCTTAAGGTATGTAAGAATAGCCGATAATAATGAATTTGACTAAAGATATCACAAAAAACTGTAGTACAAAGGTGAAGAGAATTAAAATAAATTATACAGTGTAGTCTGTACGTAATTGGATGGTGACAGTTTTTGTTACTTTAGCTTTTTGCATCCAGCACAGTACTTCTCACTTCTCAAGATGGACAGACACATGGGTTTTTTTAAGATCTGAAGCAAGAGTGGAGCTTGATTTTCTCCTCTCTCTCAAAGATGAGTGCTTTAAGCACTGTTTATCTGATGGGGACAGTTTTGGTGGTCCTCCAGGTCTTGCACGGTTGTTATGAGTTCCACTTTCTCTGTATTTTTAAATCATTTTTTGAGCTCTTGTTCTAGAATCTCCTGTTTTTTTCATTTATTTGCCTTCGGCTTTTTCTTACAGTCTTACAGTGCCCTCCACAAATACTGACACACCTGTTAAACATGAGCAAAATGTGCTGTGAAAATATTTTGATCTTTCATCAAAATATTAACAAAAAAAATTCTAACCTTTATTTGAAGTGCATAGATTTGAAAGAAAATCCCAAATCTTATCATGAAGTAAATATTTTCCTAAAAGTATAAACAGATGCCACCTACATTGGTTATGGTTATGTAGGTAACTTACGGTTACTTGCATAACCATAAGTTGCTTAGGAGGGTTGCCAGATCCCTCAAAACTCAAGCACCTACAGTTTGCCAAACTGTACTGGGACTTTTAATAGGACTGTGTAAAAAATACAGCTTTTTTTGTCAACAAATACCGGAGTAGACACAAACATAGCCATGCAGAAAAGTACCTCATCCCCATTGTGAATCATGGTGGTGGACCTGGAATGTTGTGGGGCTGTTTTTCTTCCAAAGTCCCAGGACAACTTGTTCGGATACATGGTATCATGGATTCCATCAAGTAACAGTAGATATTAAATTAAAACCTGACTGACTCAGCCAAGAACCTTAATTTAAAGTGGGCCATTGGACCTTTCAGCAGGACTGTGATCCAAAGCACGCCTCAAAATCAACACAAAAATAGCTCTCTCATCACAGAACAGGAAAGCAATAAGGAAATTTGAAATAAGGGTTTTATATAGTATGTAAACATCATTAAAATGTTAATAAGTGCCATTTACTCTCCAATCATACAGTCCAAATATGGAAACTAAGCTGCAAAATCGTCCGCATTGAATTCACTGTTTGCGATGCCACAAACACAACCACGTTTACATAAATCAACCTATTCAGCCTATAGCAGTTTAGCTCCGCCCATTAATGCTGATGTTACAAGGAGTGTTTCAGCCTGGACTGCTGTTTGAATGAGGCACAATACAGGGCAGCCAATCGGAATAGAGTTCACTTACATATATCTGTCTTAAAGTCAGCGTGTTTAATTCTAAGGGATAATGAGAGGTTGGAAAATGGTCATGTAAAAAAATTAATTATGACTTTTAATTATGAAATTTGGTAAATAAAACAACACAAATGGTATAAGTGAAGACAAATGTTGGATAAGAGCCCTGTAATGACTGTTTATACTGGAAATTAAATAAATGAAGGACTGTCTCTGATCTCACACAGTACTGTAGTGTATACTAACAAGTCCACTAGTGCGTTCATGTCTTTCAACAATGAACCAAACTGTCAATTAACATTTTGAATACAGTGGTGTAAACTTTGTGTTCAGTATCTGGTGTAACACCCTTGTGCAGCAGTAACTGTAACTAAAAGCACATCAGCTTGCTGGAATTTTAGCCCATTCCTTTGTACAAAACAGCTTCAGCTCTGTTATGTTGGTCTTCCACAACATTTCTATAGGATTAAGGTCAGGACTTTGACTTGGTCATTCCAAAACATTAACTTCATTCTTCTTTAGCTATTCTTTGGTAGAATGACTTGCGTGCTTAGGGTGGTTGTCTTGCTGCATGACCCATGTGCTCCTGAGGTTCAGCTCACGGACAGATGTCCTGACATTTTTCTTTAGAATTTGCTGGTATAATTCAGAGTTCATTGTTCCATCTATGATGGAAAGCCATCAGAGATGCAGCAAAACAGTCCCAAACCATGATACTACCACCGTGTTTCACAGATGGGATAAGGTTTTTATGCTGGAATGCATTGTTTTCCTTTATCCAAACATAATGCTTCTCATTTAAACCAAAAAAGATCTATCATCTGTCCACAAAACATTGTTCCAATAGGCCTCTGGCTTGTGATCTTTGTTAACAATCATGTTGAATTTCCTCCATTTGTACACACTCTGTCTGACTGTGGATTGGTGGAGTCCAAACTCTTTAGAGATGGTTTTGCAACCTTTTCCAGCCTGATGAGCATTAATCTCTTCTTCTGATTTCCTCAGAAATCTCCTTTGTTTGTGCCATGAAACATATCCACAAACATGTTGTGAAGATCAGATTGTGTAGATTCCTGTTCTTTAATTAAAACAGGGTGGTCACTCACACCTGATCACCATCCCATTGACTGAAAACACCTGACTCTAATTTCCCCTTCAAATTACCTGCTAAACCTAAAGGTTCATATATATTTGCCACTCACAGATCTGTAATATTGGCATTTTCCTCAATAAATAAATGACTATGTCTACTAGTTTTGTCCCATTTGTTTGTTTTGGTTCTCTTTATCTATTCTTAGGACTCTTAGTGTGAAAATCTAATAAAGTTTTAGGTCAAACTTATGCAGAAACATAAAAAATTCGAAAGGGTTCACAAACTTTCAAGCACCACTGTACATCCATGATTTATTGATTGATTTTTCAACCTCGTGACGCCCTGTTTTCCAGACACTGACACTTCTTTGGTCCTCATGAAAGACAAGAGTAACACTGCAAATGACACATCTAGAATTAACTCTACTCTCTATTGTTAGCTCTCTTGTCCAACTAATGATGCAACAACGCACAGCTAGCAATGATACAAGAGAGGCAATCGTCCACTTACTTATGGTCCATTAAAACTGGGGGGCTATTTCAAATTAAACTGACATTTACAGTCACTGTGTCATCTGAAATGTGCTGCAGTATAAAGCCAAAAGAGCATTTATGCCACTGTCCACTTACTTATGGACTGCAATTCTTATCATATATGTCATGTTCTGAGATTTGTGAACCATTTGACAACAAAACAGCTATATGTGGGACTATGAAGCAATAGATGAGTCTTCAGAAATATCCCTAAGTTTGTGGCTGGCTCATTTGAGCAGGCATTATGTGTGAGAATTGGTGGCTAGAGTCAGTATAGCGAGAATAATACATGCTATCTAGCAGCAATCTCTTCTGTCCTTCGCACAGATGAGTACCCATAGAGAAGTGTTCACTCGCGTGCACGCACACACTCACAGAAACAGATCCATGGCCATGATGAACCATTCAGCTCCTCAATAAAGGATATATTCCAACCCACTTCCCTGCCTGCATTCCTTTAGTGAATCCACATACTAGTCAGCCTGGTAGGAGCACGGAGCCCACTCACAAGCGCATGAATTTCCGAAAGCTCCACCTGCTGTATGTGTGTGAGAGAGAGGGAGAGGGCTGGGGAGCTCCTGTCAGGGTCCAAGCACATGCTGACAGGTAATCAGGCCAGTTGAGGCAGCGCACCATGCACAAACACACACACACACACACACACACACACACACACACACACACACGCACATACACAGGCCGTCACTGCCAAAGCGGAAGGCTTGGTGGCCCATTATGATTGTATTGCCTCCATTTGTTATTCTTTGTATTGTTATTCGCCTGCAGGCCTTCGGCAATCTACAATTTCACACACAGCACCACTATGCACATGCAATACACACATGCACTCCAGCACAGTGTGGAGAAACCCAAATACCCCAAAATTGCTTTTGTTTTGTCTGTTTTGCTACATGAGAACTGCAGTATGTGCACTTCAGATGGGGTTGTTTAATGGCTTTCAGCTGTAGTCCGAAATGCCTTTTCTAGTGAATGTGACAATGCATGCTGCAAAATGATCACCTTATAATCTTACTGAGAGCATGCACATGCTGTCTACAAACTTTGCGTCCGACAGCTTGAATCATAATAAGGCTGCAGATGTTATCCTTGAACTTATGTATGTTCAGTGCAACCAAAATCTACAGTGACACTAGATGCTAGTTTATCAGAGTACCATATCAGAAATGCCTCTAAAACTGCATTTTAATACTTAAGAAAAACAAGACACATCCCTACAAGATGCTGAGAAATTAGTGCATGCTTTCATTTTCATGCTTTTGCTTTTCACTTCTAGACTACTGTAAAATAGTTTCTTCTGTAGCTCCTATACTTCTGCATTCCAGAGAACATTAGGATTACAAGCTCGGTAGGTGTTTAATTCTGAACCACACATACTCACCAGCGTGGTGTGGAAAAACCAAGACCAAATACACATACCCCATAATCGTTTCTGTTTTGTCTGTTTTGCTACGTGAGAATTGCGATATGTGCACTTCAGATGGGGTCGTTTTGTGGCATAGCTTCCCACTTGTAGTCTGAAATGTCTTTTCTAGTGAACGTGACGATGCATGCTACAAAAATATCACTTTATAATCTGACTGAGAGCATGCACACGCCAGCTACAAACTGATTCCAACAGCTCGAAGCATAATAAGGATGCAGATTTTACCCTCGACTTGAATGGTTTTTCAGTGCAACTAAAAGCTGCAGACCATCATTTGAGTCTCATATCAGTAATAAAAAGGACTTTGAGAGAAATAAGACAACTTTCATCCTTATAAATACTGAGGAATTACTTCATGCTTTCACAACTACTATATTAGACTACTGAACATTGGCCGGTTGCCCTGCTGTTTCTAAACTGGCTATAACTAGTTCAGGGTGCAGCAGCCCATGTGCTCAACAGGAAAAGAAAGTCTGAGCACATTGCAGTGTGTTTGGGAAAAGTTTTTCCTGTTAGTTTGGAGTGATTGCTGTAAAGGATTTATTTGCTGGGTTTTTCTCTTATTGTAAAGGGGGGCTAGCCCACTGGCTGTGTCTTTATGTATTGTCGACATAGAGAACCAGGGGGCATGGGTGGCAACTTCAGCCTGTTAATAAAGCACAACGACTTGTGCATAAGCTGTGTCTTCATCCGTAGTGGTAAAACATCACAATATTACTTCCAATTTATAACAATATAAATAAAGTTTAACATACTGGGGGAAAAGGTCAAATAAAATAAAGTAAAATTTGCCATAACTTTTGCTTTTTTCCCCTCAATATGTTAAAATCAGCAAATAAACAGTAATTGTGCATTACATTCTGCAGACGTGTTCTCTGTAGAGGGCGTGTTAATTTATTTTCACTCAGAAAATCATCAAAACATGAAATTTTAGCAGAGGCACCCAAAACCTTTGCATGCAACTCTATGACTAGAAGTGCTGTGTCTCATTTCTCCTGTTTGTAATTCTATTGTTTGTCTTTCCAATGTTTTATTCACATTCCTGTATAAAGCACTTTGAGATGTTGTAACTAAAATAAGAATGTGTTAAAAATAAAAATCATTATTATTATTGTTATTATTATTATTATTATTATTATTATTATAGTTATTATTGTTATTATTACAATCTAGCAATGTCCATTTTTGGAATTATAAACAATATCCAAGACACACAATGGACTCCTCTGCCAGTTTGCTGGGCTCACATTGCTCCCTTTCACTCTTTCTTACATCCAAGATGCTCATGAAGGATACTGTTCATGTCCTGCCAAGGGGCCAAAGGGGATGCGGCTGATATTTTCAGATAAGGCAGAGAGGGATGAGATAAGGACACATGTAAATAAGTAAACAGAGGGAGATGTGAAGGAGCTCAGCACTGGCGGCAGCAGGTTCACTGATGTGGCTTATTGGTTCTCACTTCTCTAATACTGATGTTACAGATAAACAAACACACTCATCTGAACAGCATTCAAAACAAACCACACTACACTCACCAGGCAGAC